TGTCACTTACAGAGCAATATCTATCTAAAGATTGTCAACAACAACTAGCAAGCGAGCTACTGGTCACACCAGACCAAGCGAGGCCACAGCAGCAAAACCCCTGATTTTATTGCACAACATTCTGTTATTACTAATCCATTTAAGTGTAGGAAAAGGAAAATGTTATCTCTTCTTTATATCTGATAACGCACCTGTACTAAATTAGAATACAATACTTGTTGGATATTTGTTGTTTTACTTTTGTGTGACAGATCTACGGGATCTTCATGCAAAACCTTTATCAATTGAGAGTTAAGTTTTTCAGAATTGCCCAAAATGGACCAAATGATTTACAGAAAACGTCTCCTTAATAGCAAATGACAGATCCCCGTGGTTCACTTGTACATTGTATTTGCAGTGTTTTAAAATACTAATAATAAAAGTACAACATTCAAAATAAATAAAATCATTATCAGCAAAATGTATGAAAGTAAAAATATCCTTTATGAAACCAAAATGGTCTCTGTCAGTGAAAAATTATAATATAATAAACTGCTGGATTTGGATGTAATATTAACATGTAAGCTGCATTTTATGTTCAACAATTTTAACCCATTCTACATAATATTGGTTTCATTTAGTAAATAATATTTCAGATGATTACAGGTTAAAACCTTCATCTGGAAGGTGCGTAGAGTCTGTAGATGTCAGATAAATGCAGTGGGGTAAAAAGGACAGTATTACTTTTCACCACTCACTAATGAACATACAGTATGACTTCATTTTTACAGTGCAGATTTGTTTCTCTTTTTAATTACTGTATAGAGCTCTACCACAAGCGTTAAGTACTTCAGCTTTATTCACATTGCACTAAGTACAAAAAACACAAACTGTCGGCAGAGCAAAGCTGCCTTCAACCTACTGAGAGATAGCACAGAATAAAGAAAGCACACTCAGGCAGTTATAACAAATAAATGGGCCACCAGCTATGCCATGTTTTTAAGAGCTTGGCTAAAAAAACTGGACTTCTCATTTAAACCAAAGCATCTAAGCACCCTTCTGTGCAACAACTGTGGTAGGCATGTTAAATTTCAAAAGAAATTATGTTGCTGAGTTATGTAAACTCTCAGTGTGCATTTAAGCCTGAGAGGGATCAGCTGAGGGATTGAGAAATGTTTTAAAAAGTGGTTTCACTGCAAAATGAAACGTACTTTGTATTTTAAAAAACTTGTAAAATACACTATAGGCAGGATATAAAGTCATTAGTAGGTGATCTATTGACAAATATCTAAACATACAAGTAGATCCACTGTAAACTGGTCTTAAAAGTCTTTCCTGTGAGAAAGACAGTGTGTTAAGGATTAGACTATAAGCCTTTTGTTGCAAAATCTGCATCAGGCTACAACAAAATGACAAAATTGGAGCTCTACTGTGAAAAAATGATGAATATCCACATTCAACAAGCACAGTCTTTCATGCATCAAAAATTTTATGTTTTGAATGTTCATAAATTGTAAATTGGGACATCTCTTACACACACACACACACACACACACACACACACACACACACACACACTCTCTCCCTCTCTAAATATACATCCTGTGCTATAGTGTTGATCATTGTGGTTTTGATGCCAGGACACAGAAATACTCCTGCTCCCACTCTATTTCAGTGTCAGGAGACGTGACTCCCATCTCCTCCAGAAACCTGTGAAGGAGTGCAGGGGCTGATTATTTAGCTCACAACTCAGTAGAGCACCACAGGAAAACATTAAGACAGTTATCATTCCCAAAACGGATTACTGAAGGGTGAATATTGGATTATAATAATTATAAGTATCTCTCTCTGAATATGTTTGTGTGTGTTTGTGTGTGTGTGTGTGTGTGTGTGTGTGTGTGTATGTTACCTCTTCTGAGTGTTGAGCAGCAGGTCATGAGCAGTCTGAGCGTCTGTCTTCCTGTAAGCTTGGAACATGGACCAGGACTCAACAAATCCCACCACGTTCCTCACCGGGATGACAGACTTCACTCGAATACCCTCAATCCTGTTGTATCAATACGGTACATTGGTGTGTTATTACACAGAAAAAAAACAATAAGTGCATCTGTATTTTAAAGAACAAGGTTAGTGTGTAACACCTCAGTCATAAGCAAGGGGATAACAGGTTGCTTCATATTGTAACGGTCTTTGTAAGGACAGCAGACAGTGTAATAATTACCTCTGTTTGTCTGGAAAAGGGATGGCAGAGTACAGCTCCTCCAGCTTCCCATCAGACACAGCTACTGGGCTGCTAGTGTACGGCCTCAGCACCTGCTTCACCTGGTGGAAGTGAATATATATGTAAATGTTTAAGTATTAATCCATGACTGCATGTTCTGAGATTGTATTGCATACTGTGTGTATTGTGTCTGTAAAAAATAATCCAAGTCATATACACATACATTAACAAACAGTAAGTAAAACAAGCACATGTTAAAAAAAAAAAAAAAAAAGTTAAAAGCTGTATAAACTGCAGCTTGATAAGTTCATGTGTATGTTGTTGTGTTGATTAATGATAGTAGGAATTGAAGTAGCCATCATTACTTTTATGAATAACTTTTCCATTTTGGAAACTGTGCTATTTTCATACATTCATTTATTCAGTCAGTGCCTCACACCAGGCTAAAATGTACTTCAGTGAAAGTGTGTTAGGTGCTAAAGCATTAGCTTCCAAATTTATAAAAATTAAATTATCTGAGTAATTCAATTTTACTTTTTTAATTTATTCTTATGAGAATATAAACAGTACATTTTGCCCTCCAGTGTGATGGAAAACAAGACATGTTAATTGATTAATTGAGCTTTAGAGGTGTTGAAACATTTTTTTGAACAGAGGATAGAGCCCGGTTACCTGATTCCCCCTGCTTCCAGTCGTTATGCTAAGCTATGCTAACCATGTGGTGACTCCAACTACTCATTCAGAAAAAAAGCAAATATGTGTATTTTACAAAAATGTGAAATTACTCCTACTAAGCCCAGATTAAAGTTGTTATATTTATGTGGCCCCTCCTTTTCAGTCTGTTAATAACTCCATGTTTAGACACTGGTGATAATGCCAGTCAATGTGTAAAAACAAAAGGTTGGTGCTGCTGTTAAGGTTTAACACCTCTACACCCACCTCTTCATAGATGCGGCTGAGTCGTTCTCCACAGTTCTGATAGTGAAATCTGGTGGCAGTATCACTGAAGCCCAGCAGAGCCATGCAGCCCCGTGGTTTCAGAACCCGACTTGCCTCAGCCAGGAACCTCGACCGATCAAACCAGTGGGCTGCTGATGCCGCTGTCAGCAAGTCTACAGAGCCATCTGCAAATGGAAGCTCCTCTGCTGTCCCCTTCCTGCACGAGCGACAGACAGATCAACCCTGTAACTCCAAATACTGGGCAGTGAGAAGGCAGACCTGACAACAGTTTACTCATCGCACTAGTACCAGTGGTTATATGAAGTATTTGATCCATTATTTTACATCATTTATATACTGAAGCATAGAGCACTTAGCATAAAGGCTGGAAACTGTGGGAAACAGCTAGCCAGATTCTGGCCAATAAAGTCTGCCTACTAGCACCTCTAAAGATCACTAAATAACCCATAATGGATCATTTAATTTATTTATTATTTATATATTTATTTTATTTAGTTGGTCCATGTAAAAATGATGCGTAAAAACAACAACTTGTGGTTTTACAGAGGGGGTTATATGCAGGACTATTTCTTGGCTGGGAGTAATCACGTCATAGAGGTGCTGTCAGGCAGATTTTATTACTGTTATACAGTGACAGACTAGCTGCTCACTTCCACTCTTTATGCTAAGCTAAACTAATGAGCTGCTGGCTCCAGCTTCATATTTAACAGAAGAATACCAGAGTGGTACAGATCCTCTCATCCAACTCTTGGCAAGAAAAATAAAGTGAATTTACATTCTCACAAAAAAAACTCACACACTCCAACTCACCTGTATGTGATGTTCGGATACCCCGGCACGGCTTTGGCCTCCTCCAGCTGGCACTCACTGACGTCAATGCCCACCATTTGTCTGAAGTGTGGTGCCAGTAGCCGAGAATTCTGGCCTGTTCCACATCCCAGATCCACTGCCAGCACATGTGGCTGTCCCTTCTGAGGATGTTAACAGATATGCAGCACTTGTTGTCAATATATTCAATCATTCATTCATTTATTTTCGTCATAAACTCACATTTTTACAGCAAAACGGCAAAATGCCCCGTTAAAGGGCTCTATATGCACTATGATAACAGAGTGTATTGTACATTGACTGTATTTGGCCATGGCTTACCTTTTTATCTAGGTACTGAAGAATTATATTCTTGAGCTCATCTGGAGGCGTGAAGCGATACCTTTGGTAGATGGAGGCATGATCCTTCCCTTCAAACAGGCGGTATGTCATGGTGGTGTTTCACTCTTCTCTTTCTGATCTGTTGTTAATTTGCCTTCTCCAACCTCTGTTCCAGCACTCTCCTTTGTCAAACTCCTCTTTATTTTCCTTCACTCTCTTGTCCGCATTGGTTTTGTTCCTTAGCTTTTAGCCTCTTTTAGCCTCTATATTCTGTATCTCCTCTCTTATCTTGCTTACCTGCTTACTTATCTCCTTGCTACATCCTTTGTTTAAGCTGTTTTCTGCCCGAACACTCGATCACTCTGCACTCTTGCCAAGATTTAACTCTTCACCCACTTCCTGCAGTGTAGTTAGGTCTCTTTAATACCTAACAGGCAGACAGGGAAATAATCACTGTAGTTAAACAGAGTTAAGTTACAGAGTAAAACTGTAAAAAGAGACATGTATGTAAGAAAGAGCTGTTATTTGTAGAACAATTATTCTTACAAGTTGAAGGCTGCATTTGATACCAGGAGTCTTGTTAACTGAGCTGCAGACATGCTGACAATACATCACAGAGACATTCAGAAATGTTCTAACTGTGCTGTCATTTCCGACACAGCCACTCCCACCTGCCATACATTCCTGCTAGTGGAATCATCTGACCTGCTTCCCCACTCACCTGCTTACTTGTAACTTGTACCCGACCATTTCCACTTGCTCTCTGCCAATTTGTCTTTGTGTCATGTGCCTCAGCTTTCCAGCACTCTGCTCTGTGCCTGCCTGGTTTGATCCCGATCCAGTTTTGGACCTTGCATGAGTTTTTTGGGGATTTTCATTGCCTGCTTAGATTTTTGTATCCTTGTTTTTTCTAAGTAAAAGACTCTATTTCTACATCTGCTGAGTCATAATCTAGGCTCCATTTCCTGAGAACTGTGACACTGGGCCTTTCGCTTAACTCCTTCATGACCAAAGAATACCTGCAGGTGGTATTTTAACAGCTGCAAACCGACATGAGGATGAATCATATTCTACATTTTCAGGTGGCAAAAAATCATCAGGAATGTGATTTTAGTTTGAGTGTGTACAGCCTCACCACCAGCAAATATAAAACAGTTACACTACTTCTCTTTTTAGCACTGTCACAATCACCACACATACTTCAATTCATGACAAAACAGTGTGTTGCTTACATATCACAAATTTTTACTGTATTTTATGACACCGTTTGGTTTCTTTTAGTAAACAGTTATCAACAATTATCATACATGAATTCACAGACATGTCTAATGTGCTCTCCTCAAGATACATCCTTGACTAGATTATTATCTTATATTTATCATTTATGATTTGTGAATGATGATGATTATGTGTAGGAAAATAAACTTAGCAAAAGGGTATGCATATTAGCTTCTCAGCGTTTTCAAAGTAAAAAATAAAAATTGTTAATTTACAGTAGTCTAGTTCTTAATTCAGGATTAAGTTTTTAACCATGCCATCAGTGTTGCTCTGAGGTGGCAATGTCAGACCTGCCAATCTTGGGAAAATATTTTGAGTACCATAATAGTGTAATGCTTAGTTCACATGCTTCCACACCACTTCGCTTTGCACACAGTCGCTCCACTGCTCACCAACATATCAAATTCTTCAACATATGAATCGGCTATGAAAAAAATACAATACAATTATATTCTCAAGAAAAACTCTAATGAAAGGACATATTTACATTTAAGAGTAGTCAGCTGTTTGTGGGCATGTGCTATAGTAAACAGGTGAGCGTCAAAAGTTTCAGTACAGCTGCTTAAAAGCATTGTTTTCATGATTCATATTCCATTGCATGATAGGAGTGCTTATACAAACATAAGTGAATTTCATTCAAATATTTAATATAAATTGACATAATTTATTTTGGATATTGTAACAAATGCTTTTTAATTTTCAGGTACAGAAGCTTAACACTGTTAGTCTCTCCCTGTTAATGTCCTCCTCATATATCATTACATTTATTTCAAATGTAAGGTGTGCAGGTAGATGCACATACATGCACGCACATGTGCACATGCGCACACACATCCTGGTAACTTTAAAGGAATCGATACGTCTGCGGCACAGTACTGTGAAAAGTCAAGTTTAACATTTGCGACACATGGACAATATATCTTAACGTTACTTTTCCAATTTAAATGTTTGGTAGCTAGCTAGCTTAAAATGTTCAGCTAACGTTATCAACATTAAATAGTTTGATAGGTTTGGAAGGTCTGCGATAACTTAACTCATCTCACAATGTCAACTACCCACATCTACCAACATTGCTATGGATCTGCAGTGTGTTTACGTGATTGACATTTGTCAATTATCCCTGCTTGCCATTCGGGAAACTGAACACAGCGATATGATTGATCAAACTCTTCTTCTCTTACTCAGCACACCAGACTCCTGCTGTTAGACTTGAGTACTGCAGGTGTACAATTGAACTCACAGCCATCACTATAGCTTTTTGGCTGGACCACTTCAGCAGCGCCAGCCCTTTATTGGCTAATGTTCCTGACTGACTGATTGACTGACTGACCAAATTTACACCATTGTTCAACCAAATGCCATGTGACTGCATTGGAGTTTCTCCATTGGCCATTGCTCTTTCAAAATGATTTGAACATCAAGCAAGAGAGAGCATGAGAGTGGAAGGGAGAGAAGCCATCAGTAACTGCTAAAGAAATGAGCAGATTTGAATAGCATATTACAACAGCATTGCCAGCAATTTGACATTACGCTCACTACAGCAAAAAAAAGCCCAAAGAAATAAAGGTTTTCTGTCCACTGAAACGCCAGAGCGCTTTCAATTTGAATTGATCAAAGGAAGTGTTGAATTTGCATTAACATTGAGGCTTGGTACTAAAATGCCACTATGACCATGGGAATTAGAAATAAAAGCATGTTTAAAATGAAAGTCTCTTACATTTTGGAGTTGAGGTAAACAAAGGTCCTGGTCAATATTTGATTAAATACAGTACTACTGTCTTTTAACAATCTCTCTCCAAATCAGTGACTAAATCTATTGTTAGTTACACTTGTATGTTTATTAAAGTTTGTTGTTCACTCTCTTGGCCATTTGCTAAACTGAAAAACATCTTTGTTTTGTGTTTGGTTACCCAGGATGGCCCTCCGCGGTAGCAACGTGTATTTAATTGCTCTCGAGGGATGATGGAGATAATGACCTGTTGACCATTTCCAATTTAAGTGTCAGTTACATTCATAACCTTTGAAAAATAAAGCATACAGTATCCTATCCCATGGGCTCTCATTAAAGTATTGACATCATCAAACATTACATTGGTGGTGTTGAGCCAAACCCAAATGAACCCCATACAATTGCATTTCTTGCATGTTTTTTCTTCCACTAAAACTTATTTCAGGCTAACAGTAGCACTCATTCCTCAGGCCACACCTGCTGAAGATACACTAGAGATTACTTTTAGTGGTGGGCACGAAGGACTGTGGAGGGACTAATAAAAGTCATTACAATAACCTTACATCACTCGTGGTTCATGTGTGTGTATGGGCAGTTGTTTTGAAAAGTGTATTATAGTCTTAAAGATGTACAAAAGATTACATCATGTGTGTTTCATAATAGTCTGTTGTTCTTCAGATTCCTCTGAATAATTCAGATTGGTACACAAGAGTGAACAGAAGTTATTGTTGAACACTTTGCACTAATATTTTATAGTCCATAAACAATTGTTTGATAATTAGTTAAAAATATGATGTGATGAGCATTTCTGAAACTGGAGACTAAATCAGTATTTTGTTTGTTTTACTGAAATCTTCTTTATGCCTGTGAGCCTACCTGTGTTGTTTGACGAACAATGCTTGCACACTACTGTACATATCCAAAAATTAAAACACACATTCATGGTACGTATTTGTGTGAATATCATGCTGAAACTTAAGAGCTAGTTTACCTCAGTGAGAAACTTTATCAGTATTAATTGTCAGTGTTTTCAGTCTGTCAGTATTGGATGGATGTGTGTATTTGTTTCCTCAACATATTCGTCCGCAGACTAATTATTTAAGTCTGGTGTGGAGGTCAGAACAGGAAGGAAGTGGCATGCCCAGGATGCAGTAGAGCGAGCAGAGGCAAGGCTGCGGCACAGCACCCTGGTGGGAACTGTGGCTACTGGTCGGGCTGGGCTGGGAAGCAACCCAAAACCAAGCTACAGCAGAGCCAGAGGAAAGGAAAGACGAAAGCTTATCCAGGAGGAGGTGCGCGCCGAGGTGGAGGAGGCTCGCTTCAGCAGAGTGGTGGGCATGAGCAAGCAGGGGGCCTGGACCAAGTGGGAGCACGTAGCTGGCCGTAAGATCACCTGGACCGAACTCTGGAAGGCGGAGCCACACCAGTTTAAGTTCTTGGTCCAATCATTCTATGATGTCCTCCCAAGCCCTGCTAACCTGTTCACCTGGGGCCTCACAGACTCACCTGTGTGCCAGCTTTGTCAGAAAAGAGGATCACTAGAACACATCCTCAGCTGTTGTTCAAAGGCCTTGGGAGATGGCAGGTATCGTTGGTGCCACAACCAGGTCCTGCGGGCAATAGCAGACATCATCTGCACTGGCATCAACATCAGCAAGCGGCAGCACCCGACCAAGAGTACGATTGCCTTTGTCCGAGCAGGGGAGAAACCTCAACCCTCCAAGAAGACTCAGGGGGGCTTGCTCACAACAGCGAGGGACTGGCAGCTCCTGGTTGACCTAGGGAGGCAGTGGCGATTCCCAGTCATCATCATAGCCACGACACTCCGACCAGTCATGGTCTTGATGTCTGTAGCCAGCAAGCAAGCCGGTGGTGCTCCTTGAGCTAACTGTCCCCTGGGAGGACAGAATGGAGGAAGCTCAGGAGAGGAAGAGGGCAAAGTATGCAGATCTTGTGGCTGAGTGCCGGTGGAATGGGTGGAAGGCCCGCTGCAAGCCTATTGAGGTGGGCTGCAGGGGTTTTGCAGGCAAGTCCTTACACTGGGTCCTGGGGCTCCTTGGGATTTGTGGACTGCACAGGCGAAGAGCCATCAAAAACATCCTGGAAGCATCTGAAAAAGCTTCACGTTGGCTCTGGTTGAAGAGGGGGGAGGCGTGGCGTAGTGCGCTACCTGGACACAAGTCGGGGGACTGATCACCCCCGGCTGGATCGCCCGGGTGAGGGTGTCTGACTGAGACCCGAAACACCCTATGATCCCGGGAGCATCACTGATGATGTGTCCAGGTTGCACCTTGAGGTGTATTACTTATTTAAGTCTGATTATACTCTATTGAAGGATGAGGTTGGCAATATACAATTTATTTCTTACTTTCAGCAAATTCCATGAAAATCAGTGGAATCCATTTTGATCAAAACCAACACCAAACCTACAAACAGGTAAAGTCTGTCTACCCAAGACCTTAAAAGACCTGACAAATCTGTTGAAATGATGTGATGCAGTCATGTCAACATGGAGCAGAATCTTGAAATAAAGTTTCCAAAATTTGGTGGAATCCACACCACCAAGAACTGAGGCTGTTTCACGAACATACAGAGGCCCTACCCAATATCTGTAAGGTGAGACTAAAATTGACCATGATATTAGATATCAGATAGATAGATAGATAGATAGATAGATAGATAGATAGATAGATAGGTAGATAGACAGATATCCCTAGGGGTAATTAATGTGTCTATTAGCTCATTGTTGATAACAGTTAATGATGAATAAACAATAATAATTAAATTAGTCCACTTCCTTTGGCTGAGGTGCTGCTCATCACTGTCCCTGAGACACAGATATATATATAATACTGATGTATTGTCAGTAAAGTTTGTTGGAAATATATATAGAGGTACACTCAAGAGTTATCCTTAAAACTGTTTTTTGCAGCTTCTCCATCAAAGCCAGGTTCATGTCAGGGGGGAAAGTGAATATCAAAACTGTGTGATAGTGTGCAATCTGAAACGTTCCATTCCAGATCCCCCATGGAGCGATGACTGTGGTGATGTAATTACAGTATGTGTGACAAGTTAAATAGGTTCTCAGCTGCTTCTGAGAAACCACAGCGGTCACCTGCTGTGCCACAGACCACACACAGACAGCATGAAGAAGGAGTGGTGAGACCTAAAAAACACTCTGTTCATATAGGAAATATAACTGAGACTCCAGCCATTCTGGTTTAACTTACTCTCTTACTTATTATTGATATTAGGAATTATTACAAATACATATTTCTTACTCATAATCACCTCACATAATTTATCACTTTGGAAATCTCTCTGTTTTCTCGTTTGTTTCAGTGCTCTTCAACACACAGTACCTGCCTCAGTTGACCAGTGACTACACAGCTACCAGGGACAGGCAGCTGCATTGTAACTACTGACAGGATCCAACTGTAGAATTGTCCTACCTTTTTTATTGTCTATGGGGTAAATGGAAAACAATACATACCCCCCTTATTTTAACCTCACCATGTTTGTGAACATTGGCAGCTACCGCTACCCAACATTTGTCTTGTGTTTCCTGCTGTATGCTTTTATTATCTCCGCTAACCTTGTCATAATACTGGTAATATCACAAGAGAAAACTTTACATGAGCCCATGTATATTTTTATTATGTGCCTTTCTATTAACTCTCTGTACGGCTCTGCCGGCTTCTTCTTCAGATTTCTCAGAGACCTCCTGTCTGATACTCATTTGATCCCACGATCGGCTTGTTTCACTCAGATCTATGTCATTTACACCTATGCTTCCTATGAGCTCACCATTTTAGGCATTATGGCATATGATCGGTATGTTGCAGTATGTCAGCCTTTACATTACCACAACAAAATAACCTCTAAGATGGTCTCTAAGTTGATCGCCTTAGCATGGATCTATCCAGCCTTCTCTGTTGCAGTCTGTGTTTATCTGGCCTCCATACTTCCCTTGTGTGGCAATAAGATCCCAAAGGTGTTCTGTGCAAACTGGCCTGTAGTAAAACTGTCATGTGTCCCCACTGTGCTCAATAACCTTATTGGCATGCTTGTGTCCACAAGCACCGTCTTTCTGCCCCTGGCTTTTGTCCTGTATACATATGCACGGATTTTCCTGGTCTGTAGAAAACGCTCCTTAGAGTTCAAAAGCAAAGTCATACAAAGCTGTCTGCCGCACATTGTTACATTTGTCAATTATTCCATTACTGTGTTCTGTGATGTTGCCCTCAGCAGAATTAATCTTGAAGAGCTGAATCCATTCCTAGGTATAATTCTGTCACTTGAGTTTGTTGTGATTCCTCCAATTCTGAATCCTCTTGTTTATGGCCTGAAGTTACCAGAAATTAGAAAACTTATGTTCAGAATGTTATCATGCTCAAAACCTGACAAACAGACTAAACCTCAGAAATAAGACTAGTATCATTTCCCTGCACTGGTCTGACCTAGTGTAGACTGAGCTCTCATTACCCTACAAATTCTGACTCACACACCTGGCTGCAGCAATGATGGTGTAATAAAGGGCAGAGATACTTTTGCAAACAAATATTTTATTTTATTTGCTTTGTTTTAATCTGTGATTTAAATCAGTTTGTATAAAGTGGCATTAAGGTGTTTTTCCTGTTAATCAATTTGAAAAAAAAACATCCACTGTGTTCAGTGTTGTAACCAAATATAACATAAAAAAAACTCCAAAGGGTTGAATATTTTTCATACACTCTTAACTGATGGACAGTTTGTGATGAAACGTGGCATTATTGTATGACTTAAAAAAGTCTTTAGATAATGGACACTTTGAAATGCAAACGACTATGATTAAGAAAAATTACCTGCACTAAACTTATCTAATGTGAATATATTGTATTTGATTATAAATGTAGGCTATGTATCATTTATTGTGAAAAGAAACATAAAGACAGAGATAAAATAACATTTAAAAGTAATGGGCTGATTTGAAATTATAATTAATTCATAATTATATATTATCTCAAAGTTTCATGATTATGTTATATATTTTATCTCAAAGTTTTCATAAGATAATTTATTTCATAAGATATATTGACATATAGTTATTCAGCACTTTGAGTCTATATATTTTTGATGTAGATTGTGCATGCAAGTAATAATTTAAAGGGATAAGGGTGCAAACTGAACAGGTGTAAATTAAGTGTGAATAATAGAGGAAACTTGAACATGAATTAATTAATTGCAAATTAAGTTCTACTTCTGCTGTATCACTGTATCACATACCTGGTATGTTTATTCGAAAATTTTTGAGAGTTCCACCAAGTGATGCACCAGAAAGAAACCTGGTTTTGAGATGTCTAATCTCAGTACTCAACTCTTAAGACTTAGTTTCCATTGATTTAAACTGCCTGAGACAAGTGAAACACCCTCCCTTGGCTCTAAAATGAAGCCTTTTGTGTTGAACAGTGTGAGCAGTTCTTTGTAATCATGGAGAAATAATCGCCAACATGGACCGTGTGTAATGAAAGTGTCATGTTTGCCCTGCCATAAAGATTAGAGGGTAGTGCACTCGCTAATCTTTTCCAACTCACGCTCTCTTCAACAATCTTTCTTTCAACAATCAGGCGTGATTAGCAGCATCTTATCCGTTGTGCACACAATATCACAGGTGCTCCAACTGCTTTCACTCATAATTACTAACTGTAGAACAACAAGTGATGTGGAACAGTGGACAAATACCAGTGGCAGCGTCCACAAGCTTGTTGGTTAAGGCTGTGGGGGTGTGTCAGAGAAAAGAGGTTTGGAACTGCTGATGTTGAAGACACTGGGGCTGAGGGCAATGCTGTGGATTGTGAATTTATATCGCGTTTTTTTAGTCTACTGACCACTGATGATGCAACATCTGGAGCACTTTAGCATCTTGCTCTTGGACACTTCAACACAGTCTCTGGAGGTGTATGGGTGCTGTTAAGTGTGCAGTGAAGGTACAGTGTGTGTGCTTGGCTTGGTGGGTATCATGGGGGGGGGGGGGGGGGGGGGGGGGGGGGGGGCAGGTTATATTGTGTGATGTAGCTTGGCTCCCCACATAGATAACAACCCTCAGTGGATTGCTGAGCAACCCTTGGTCACTGCATGTGGAATGGAGATGGCAGTACTTTCAGATACTTATGTGGTTGGGCATTAGCTGGTCACTGGGTGGTCTGGATAAGGGGTGGAAATGTCCTGCCTGTTTTGTCATGAGCTGGATGCTCACGAACTGGTTGTTGCTTTTGGACAGACAGGTCACTGGCATCCTCTCCTTGGTGACTCATTGCCATTCCCGATGTTTTTACTTCTTCTATAAGAGAGGCTATACTTTATTTAGAGACTGAAAAGTCTCACGCTACTATTCAGGGGCCTCTCAATGTCTCTTTATGTCAGTGGTCAATCCCAGAGTGCCAGCTTCCTTGGCAGCTGCATGGTGTTATAGTGTTTCATTCAGAACCCACAAAAACTGCCTTTTTCCACTTGAAAAACCTGATGCCAGCCTCTTGTCCCGGCCATCCAGGACGAGGCACCAGACCTCGGGTGACAAGGCTTTCTCCTTTGGTGGCCCCCTCCCTCTGGAACTCTATCCCCAAGCACATCCTGTCCATCTTCAAGAAGTTACTCAAAACTGTTCTGCTTTTATCATGTTTTTTAAAAAAATTATTATCTAGTATTAATTCATCCTTGGATATCTTGAAAAGTGCTTGAAAAATAAAATATTATTATTATTAATACTATTAGTTTCTTTTGTAATTAGAGTGCAAATTATATAATGACAACAAGGGGGGAGTCAGCTATTTCTTGGTCCCTCCTACAACAGTTTTGTCATCCCAGTGATTGGCTGGATTAGAACCCAAGGCGCTATTGTTGGTTTTGGAAAAAGGATTTACCAAGGAACAGTCACTGCACACGGTCAAACAGAGCAGTTCTCCACTCCAGTACTTAGGCAGCTGGTGTGCTGCTGTCATTTACGTGGTGAAACAGGTGAAGCTTTTATTCCAAAACTTACAGGTGATGGAAAATGTTTCAGCTGACACGCTCTTTACTCTTTCAGGTTTAAATTTTACATTGGAACAAAGAATTACCCTCTTCTTTCTGACTTTACTGTGGTACATAATGATTCTGTTGGGAAATATTGCTATTATTGTTGCTATCATTGTGGATAAAAACCTCCAGGAGCCAATGTATATCTTCTTGTGTAATCTATGCTTCAATGCATTGTATGGAACTGCCGGTTTTTACCCCAAATTCCTCCTGGATCTTCTAACATCTCATGTCATTTCTTACGCTGGATGCATGCTACAGGGTTTTGTAATACACTCATCTGTTTGCGGAGATTTCTCCATCTTAGCCCTGATGGCTTATGACAGATATGTGGCTATATGTCGACCCCTAGTCTACCACTCAGTTATGACAAAGCAGAGAATCTCCATTTTTGTGCTTTTCTCCTGGCTCTTACCGCTTTATTGTATGTTTATGAACACGGCAACATTATTAGGATCAAGGTTATGTGGCTCACACATAAACAGAATCTATTGTGTTAACTGGATGATAACGACTCTTACTTGCTCACCACCCAAAGCAAACGCTGCAGTTTCATATTTTAATGTTTTGTTTTATTTTGGCATTTTTGTGTTTATTTTTTGGTCATACTTGTATCTGATAAGAACAGCCATATCATCCAAAGAGAAGCGGGGGAAGTTCATGCAGACGTGCTTGCCACATTTAATCTCTCTCATCACTTTTACAACAACTGTCCTTTTAGATTTATTGTACATGAGATTTGGGTCACTTGATTTATCTCAGAATCTCAATAATTTTATGGCAATGGAATTTCTACTTATTCCTCCGGCTATGAATCCATTTATATATGGATTCAAACTGACCAAGATCCGCAACAAATTCTTGAATTTAGTTTACATTAAAAGGAAAGATGTGAAAGAATGAATTTCCACATTAAAGGTGAACTCTCAAACTGAGCCATAAACATTGGGAAAGAAATCAGTGCAGTCTGTACATCTGAAAATTGAAATGTGATGGAAAGTAGATTCATTTATAAAGATTTTTGATAGTTGAAATAATTAAACAGGGAGATTATTCTTAATGCAGAATATCACAGCAGTGCCAGTGATAGTCTTTTCATTTCTCTTATATCTTCAGCAGTAAAAACACACTGTATTATTCTGTGTTTACTTGTTATGTGATGACAGAATGGTGCATTCAAGGTTCCAAACAGATTTGATGTTAAGTAAAAAATATGTGATGGCTAAATTATCATGAATTTAAAATAAAAACATGCTTTACTCTGCCATTCATGCTTTGTAAATGTATTGATCTAAAAACGACATGCTTGTCACACACTTTACGGATGTATAGTATATTCCTGCTGAGGGGCTCCTGATTATTCCGTCCTTGTGATCAGCTTGTGACCAGTTTATGGTTTCTTGTGTTTACTGTAAATGCTGAAATTGATTTTGAACTTGTGACTCTTGTTAGGATCTGGAAGTTCTCTACTGGGTGACTGTCTTGTATAAGCAACTGAGGGTTAATCATGTGTGATTTCTCCGTTTGATCAAACTATAATGAAAAGCTGTACACATTATATTCTAATCCTTAACCCATCAGTGTGTTTAGTGTGTTTAGTGTGTTTACAGGAATTTTCAGCAATGTAACAATTATGTAAGAAAGCCCTATCTGTAATGATTTTCCTAAGAAGTATAAGTCGGATAAGTTGAGCATTTTCACATGGCTGTTACTTGATTGTTCCAAATAACAAAGATCTGCAAATATAAAATGGCAGTGTATTTACTAAAACATAAAATGTACACTCAGATGTGTTGATATTTGAGATGATAATGATTTTTATTTTTCTCTATTCTTTCCTACACTTTGCAATAATTTAAATAACAATAATTCTTACAGTTCTGACTGCAACCAGTGCCGCTGTGACCTGTGACTTTATTGCTACTGTGACCTGAGTGTTTCTGCCAATGCTGCAGGAATGTTCAAAACATGCACTGACATCTATATGACATCAAGGAGCATTTTCAACTGATTAGTCATAATTTGCGCAGGTCAGCAACTGTAAACAAGATGGACACTGTAACAATTTAGGCTATTAGCCTTTAAGTAGGTACATAACTATTACTTAATTGATCATTTATAACCATTGATTATCCCCAACACATTGGTCAGACTATGGAATTTAATTTGTGATGCTCGAACAGGAACAGGAAAGCATCACACGTGACATTAAAGCATTTAATACAGGAATAACCAGATAATACACACAATTCACTGCCTTCAACTTTCATGGGAATGTTTTCCACTGAAGAAAACAGCCCTCATGAAACTGGACACAGTGAGCTCTGTCGAATAGATTCTCAACTGTATCAGGAGAAATCTCTGACACCAGCTGGTAGGCTCCTTGAATGTTGGCAACCGCATCTTAAACTGTCCAGCAAAACATGTTGCCCATGTATGTGACTTTACCTTTATAAACTGGCAGTGAGAAATGTTTTTTTTTTTTTTTTCAACTGTTTTTATCTTCCAAAAGGAATTAGCCTTGGAAATATATCAAAACACTATGGGCATCAGAGCCAGTGTTAAATTACCAAAGGGCTTGCCAAGATAAGACTGTTCTCCGGGCTGTGAGCTGCTGAGATGTTCTCATCTGGCAGGCGGGAAGGGCGATTTAATCCTGTCATATACCTCTGGGCTTGGCTGAACTTTTAGGCCCTATTATTCCATAATCACATATCTACCACAACCAAGCAATTCCCCAGCGATACCGCTGAGTCAAGCCTCACCGCAACAAACATGAAAAAACATGAATTCACTTGATTACATCTTTCAAATAACACAACTATCTCCACCCAACGGTATGATGTCATACTACAAAGTCGCAGGATTTAGTTGAATGGAAATAAATACTACCAATGGGAGAGGAGTCAAAATTCACCAGTGTTCAGGTAAAAAAAAAAACAGAGAGCCAGAAATTCTGGTCTGGAGCAGCAGCAGCTGAGGGATTATCTTCTTCCAGGCAGGTTCAGTCGGGTCAGGCAGGACAGGGCCGTGTATTGGCTGGGTTCTGGCCTCAGTTTTAGGCCTGTGTACAACTCTAGGACGGATACAACAAAACATTTTCAACATTGGTGGAGACTCTCCAAGTAACTTCATGTATTATCTTGTTAATATTGTATACAGTAGTTCTTACAGATTGAAACACTTCCAGACCACTGATTGGTTGGTTTGAATTCCCAGCTCGTGCACTGCTGTCTTCAGACAAGATATTAGTACTGTGAGATGAAGGGGTGGACACCATGTTAATCATGGTGGTACACTACAAAGGGGAAAATATAAAGTAAACTTTTCTACCCATCATGGATAATGTCTCTGTAATAAGAATATTGTATCTCTCAGGTTTGAATGAAACAAGGAACCATCAGTTTACTCTCTTCACTCTCACTTTACTGTGTTATTGTGTGATTTTGCTGGTCAACATTTGTCTTATTGCGACCATCATCTTGGATAAAAACCTCCATGAACCAATGTATATTCTGTTGTGCACTTTCTGCATGAATGGACTTTATGGGACAACAGGTTTCTACCCCAAATTTCTCTGGGATCTGCTCTCTCCTCTTCACATCATCTCTTACTCTGGGTGCCTTGTTCAGGCTTTAGTCATGTACTCTTTTGCCTGCAGTGATCTGTCTATTCTTGCAGTAATGGCATATGACAGATATGTGGCCATATGTCGACCACTGGAGTACCACTCTATCATGTCCAAGCAAAGGCTCTTCAAATTAGTGTGTTTCTCTTGGTTAACACCTTTCTGCATTATAGCCACAAACATTTCTCTAACATCTAGATTAAAGCTGTGCAGTCCATATATTGCCAGACTCTTCTGTGTGAATTGGGTTATAGTTACACTTGCTTGTTTTCCAGCACAAACTATTATTAACAACATAGTTGCATACATTACAATAATCATTTATGTATGTCATGGTTGTTTTATAGTTTGGTCCTACATGTATCTCATTAAAACATGTGTGAATTCTATAGAAAACAGGGCAAAGTTCATGCAAACATGTGTGCCACATTTATTCTCTTTACTCACTTTTCTTGCTACAATAGTTTTTGATGTTATGAGTATGAGATTTGGTTCAAAGGATTTACCTCAAAACCTTCAAAACTTTGTTGCAATAGAATTTCTTGTCATACCTCCCATCATGAATCCTCTGATTTATGGTTTCAAACTGACCAAAATTAGGAACAGGATTCTGAATGTTATCACTTTAAAGACCAAATTATAAATATAAGTCCTGTTTCTAATGTGCTTCCTTTACTTATGCAGTGATCAACCAGCTGCTGGCTGTTAGGAACTGAAGTTATAGTTACATGTAATATCCTCAGACTAAAGAATGGAGGTTTGGCAGATTCAGCAAACATTAGTTTGGTGTGTTTTGAGGGATGTCCTTTTAACTGAAAGTTTTCATTTTATTACAATGAAATTTGCATTAATGTGCATAGGGTGTTCTCTATCCTCAAGGTTTAGGATGCTTTTTTTTATTTGGCACTACTCTAACATGATGACAATAATATGACACCTCTCTAAAATATGGACATTGTATTATGACTTTCTTTTTGCATATTTACATGATTCCCACGTATGTGATGGTCTAGCCAACTATTCATAATGTTGAATATTTGTGTGCATATCTCAGATAATGCATTAAAAGCAGATAGGCCTACTTTGTTCTTTTATGTCATATTAATTTATTTAAAAAAAAGTAAATTAATATTTTGCATTATTGCACAATCTGATGTCATTTATATGCTTGTTTCTGAACAGAAAGGGAAAGAATAAATTGAAATAAATTAATCTGTGTTGTATACAGTTTCTGCTGTCAAATTCCAAGGAAAAAAAACAACCTTTCACTGGAAAATGAATTACAACAGTGTACCAAAGCAGAAATAATCATGTGAGTGGACTCTTTATTCTGGACATTTTTGGATGACACAACGATCAGTCTTGCTTAGGATGTTCTGGCCTTCACTCTGCCCCAGCCTGCCATCATTTTTTTCCCACCAAATTGTGGCAATGTTTAGGAGGCTTATTATTCTAAGTACTTTGCCTCATTGGCTGCATTTCACTGGTTTGTCACAGTCTCCATCACGGCCCTGTCCTCTCCTGTTGTTGTCTGTCATTTACAGTATAGAGATATGACTCCCAGATATGTGGCTCATTTGGTGTAGTATTTGTTAAAGCTTGGTGTGTGCGTGTGTGTGGCACTGAACCATGATGAAGCGTTGCTAATGGTTTGAAGCAGTTGTTACAGTCAGCATGGTGACATCTACTGGCCAACGCTTTGTATTGCATTTGTATCAAATTGGCCAGCTATTATGAAATACTGAGGGACAACATAAATACCTCACTGTTGTCATTCTTGATATTTTGTTCGATAAGAATATTGTCATGTAAAAAAACATCTGTTGATTTATATGGTGTTGCTATAATTGCTAATTATAAGCTTTAAATTGAAATAAAGGAATAAATATGTCTGCTACTGTATTTCTGCAATATAAGGCCTTTTTTAGCCAGCCTGGATTTCCCAGTAATTCAATGGGTCATCTTTGATCTAATAAAGACTATCAGGCCTGCAAGTTAGATTTAAGACTTATTCAGTGTCACACATTCTTAAATTCAAGCCTAATTTCCAATAACAAAACAGCAAAAATCATGCAACAACATTAATTACTTTAAGAAGGTTTTTATATAATTATTGAAAATTGGCATTTCACAAACAAAGTCGTGTTTGTAATGTTTGATAGAAAACATAACAGAGTAGGAACATATTCTGTAGAGTGAAGACGTGGGCCCATATTCATGACTGCTAAAGGTACAATTTTGAACCCAACTGAAAGACAAAAGTAAAAATCTTTCTCTTTCACTCTGACTCACAAACTAAAGAATAAAAACTGTTTAACCTCTTTTGACTTAAAAATGCTCGTAAATATATGAGTGCCCAGGAGGTTGCTTAAATTGGTAAGAGGAAAGGACTGAGCAATAGAAGCACTATAATTAAGAATTGAGGAGTTTAAGGTTTTTGTTCTTGTTTTTTGTTTATTTTTAATTTATCTATTCAATTCATGATCTTTGAGATTCAAGAATATCTTCAATGTAATTTTTTCTTGTCATAACAAATGTATTTTTACTAGGAATATAATAGTATGAGATATCCATTAATTGTAAAGATGTCTTAAAATGTGCCTGATTAAAAATATCTTTAATTAAAATAATTACCAGTCAAAATTACACATCTGGGGCAGCAAAACCCATCCGAGCAACCCCCAAGATCTGAGCCCATTAATTACACAACGCTGAGTTAGTACGATGTAACCATGGAAACGTGTGGTTTCTTTGAGAAACAGCAGAACTTGTAGAGCAAAATTAAGACTGGCCTAACACGACAGACCATTCTGAAATATCTCTGTTAAACTGACCCCTGGGGCTGCATTATTTTAATGGTAGTCAGCTATGACTGTGAAACTGAGGTGAACCCACAGAGCAGAACACAGAGCGGTGGTAAAGCAAGTCTTTTATTATAAATTATGTAGATTGTGGGGAATAGTAGCGGGGATGGCGATGGTGGTGAGAGACTGTAGATAGTATGGCAGATAATGGCGGAGGTTGTGCACATAAACAGAATCCAAGCAGGTGGGGCTGAGGCTGGGCTGAGGCTGGGCTGAGGCTGGGCTGAGGCTGGGCTGAGCGTGGCAGGCGGCAAGGTTGTAGATCTGGAGCACAGGGAAACAAACAGGATTACCAAAAAAGTCCAAAAAGCAGAGCAAAGCAAGAAGTTTGCAACAGTGTTTGGACGTGGCATTTATACCACTCGAACGACCTGGTGGAGAATGGTGAGTAGAACTGGTTCTTAGATACTGCAGCTGGTTGTAGAGTTGTTTGCATGATGTGGAGCAGGTGAGTATGGAGATTGGTCACAGCAGGATGCAGGTAGCCACGCCCAGCTGACACACACAGACAGACACAGAGGCAAACTGGGGACAAACAAAAACAAGAGGGAGGGGAAAACAACAGAGAACAAGGAAAGAAAAAGGACCACAAAGGTCCTGATCCTAACAGAAAGTCTTAATACACTTTCATGTCCTAACTGTGCTTAAGAACTCATGTTGTTCAAGCAATGAAAATGATATATTTGGAAATAACAGCAAGCCTAAAAAAAATTAAGGTTATCTTTGGGTTATACATTTATTATATGTTGTGTTATCTTATAGTTATTGTATGTTTATTTTATTATTGGTCACACAATAAACTGCAGAACGTTGATTTGCTGGTTTGAATTCCCAGCTCATGCCGTCAGACAGGATACTAAGAACAATGAGAAGACCAGACACTTATTAGGGACTGACAAATCCTTCACACAAGTTTTCTAACATGATGGATAATGTATCTCTAATAACAATGTTTTTTCTCTCAGGTTTGAATGAAACAAGGAACCATCAGTTTACTCTCTTCACTCTCACTTTACTTTGTTATTGTATGATTTTGCTGGTCAACATTTGTCTTATTGCGACCATCATCTTGGATAAAAACCTCCATGAACCAATGTATATTCTGTTGTGCACTTTCTGCATGAATGGACTTTATGGGACAACAGGTTTCTACCCCAAATTTCTCTGGGATCTGCTCTCTCCTCTTCACATCATCTCTTACTCTGGGTGCCTTGTTCAGGCTTTAGTCATGTACTCTTTTGCCTGCAGTGATCTGTCTATTCTTGCAGTAATGGCATATGACAGATATGTGGCCATATGTCGACCACTGGAGTACCACTCTATCATGTCCAAGCAAAGGCTCTTCAAATTAGTGTGTTTCTCTTGGTTAACGCCTTTCTGCATTATGGCTGTGAATATTTTTCTGACATCTAGATTAAAGCTGTGCAGTCCATATGTTACCAGACTCTTCTGTGTGAATTGGATTATAGTTACACTTGCTTGTTTTCCAACTCAAACTATTATTAACAACATAGTTGCATACATTACAATAATCATTTATGTATGTCATGGTTTTTTTATAGTTTGGTCCTACATGTATCTCATTAAAACATGTGTGAATTCTATAGAAAACAGGGCAAAGTTCATGCAAACATGTGTGCCACATTTATTCTCTTTACTCACTTTTCTTTTGACCATTCTTTTTGATGTTATGAGTATGAGATTTGGTTCAAAAGATTTACCTCGAAACCTTCAAAACTTTGTTGCAATAGAATTTCTTGTCATACCTCCCATCATGAATCCTCTGATTTATGGTTTCAAACTGACCAAAATTAGGAACAGGATTCTGGCTCATGTTACTTTTAAAATTAAATGACCTTGAACTCAAAGTCCTACAATAATGCTCAATAAATGAATATCCATTGCAAATTTTAATCTGAAATTTTTCCTTGGTATGCCTATGTATAACAGAAAGCTTACATTATATTAAATTCAAATCAGCATCTTCTGTTGTATTTTTAATCTCTGCCCACAAGATTTTAGGTGTTAACCCGAATTCCTCTTTGAACTCTTGTACTTTGAAATAAGACTTTTGCATATAAGTGCATAATTTTGCATATTTACATTTTCTACTTTTGGCTGAAGCTCTAGGCAATTGTACAGTGTTTAATTATGTACATGTGCATATTCTTGTGAAGCAAACTGTTACATTTTTGCTAAATATCTTTGCACTTTTCCCTCAATGCATTCTGGATGGTCACTTTTGGATTGCTGTTTTTCTTTTATTTAGGAATTAAATGAATACAACTATAAAATCCAAAACTTCTCATTACTATCATTATTTGCATTTTTTTTTTTTGTTTGCATATTTATCTGTGACTTTATTTGTCGGCCCAAAATAGATTGAATAAGGAAGAATAAAAGAAGAATATGTATAATATCATATATGTTTAACCTGTCAAATAGGACTCAGATTAAGAATCTGCAATAAACAAAAGATTCATCGTAATAAGGTTAAAGGCAGCTGAGTCACCTTTGACAATTTTGAGCTGCATGATAAAAAAAAAGTTGTAATTTTTGATTTTCAGAGTAAAAGTATTCAGGTTTCAGACGAGAAGGAGAAAGACCATGAAACTCCAGACACTGTTAAGAGGAAAACTGTCTTCTCTCCTAACCCTTTAGCAAACTAAAGAAAGACAGGATATTATCAGCATCTACACTCAAAACTGGTTCCAAAATAATAATTTGAAACTTTGACAGTTTCTGGACCATGTCTAACTTTGATAATATAGATAACCTTTACCTAAATGTGTTTAACAAATAGATGGTTCAGGATTTCTACATTTTAAAGATTCTTCATTTTAAGCTGTTGGCTAAAACTCCATATTATTTGTGTTGGCCATCATCTTCTTAATCCAACAGCTACTTTTTCAATATTTTTTATAGTTTTATGATAAAATTGAGTCCAGACCATTAGGACATGGGGAAACTCTTTGCAGCTTTGATTGGAGGCATGTTCTGTCTTTCAGGTCAGTCTTACGTTGATCAATTCATCAGGAAAACTTTTGTCCAAATCAGTGGGATGGCCAGAGGAAACACTGTTTGCTGTAAATTACTATAATGTTCTACTCTGAATCTCTAAGCTTCTCTTTCTTCATTGCAATGTATTTGTTTAAATGTAAGCTCTGCTGACTCACTAGAAGTGCATTTTTCCACGTTGAAATTGTAGTTGACATTTGACATTTGCATCAGTTTAAGTAGAAAAGGATTTCACTGTTTACCTTACAAAACATTGATAGCATGTAATATCAAGTACACGGGCACTTGATTGTTTTAAAACTCTTTCTTCATGTATTTTCAAAAAAGAGACCTGGCCCACATTGTTTGCTTTTGTCAAGCAAAGTTCCCGTGACTTTAGAAAGTTCATTTGACATTATCGCGGCATATGTCGTGGCACATGTCCCTCTCCATAAGGCTGTCACAATTGGAGTGACACCTTGCCAAACAACTGAAAAACCCCAAAGAGAGACAACCCTGCTGATCTCCACGATGGAAGAGCTGTCAGACACAATATGCAAAAACACTCCACTATTACCAGCAGTCACCAACTAAAGACAATTACTTTATATTTCATTTTCTTCTGTCATAATTTCTTGCAAATAAAATTGAATAATTATAACTTTTGGATGTTTTTCAACAGTTGATGTCGTCCTACCTGAAACCTGCAAGAGATGATTTAAAAAAAATGTTTTGTCCACTTGGGGACAGCAGAAGCAATAAGCGAACACAACACTGACATCACCTTTTAAGTTTATATGGTGCATAGCAAACAGCTTCTTATTTACTCTACCATTACTTATGGATTTACATTATGGAGTTGTGTTTCTGGCCATATATATATCTAGGGCAGCAGTTTCCAACCTTTTCCAACTTTTCAAGTGGCCCTCTTGAAAATCTCCAAAATGTTGGCAGCCCACATCCGGCTCCATAACAATACGGAGGCCAAATAATGAGTCCTCAGAGCTGATAATGATCGAACATTCAGGACTGAACTGAAAGCAGGGAAAACATTTAGAAAGCTCCACATTCCTCTCATTGGCTTATCACAGTGATAGGCCTTAATACGAGAGAGAGAGAAAAAAAAAAACAATGCCAGGAGTTTTTTAACACTCGCTCTAATGAAAATCAAGTCTTTAACCTTGTTAACATGTCTATATGGATTGTTTTTCACATAGTACAAGACGTATCAGGAGTGGAAGAAGCAGTCACTGTCATGAGTATTTCCACCTTGGAACTGCAGTGCATAAAAAAAAAGGATTCAGACGGCCAGGGTTATACGTCACAAAACTCAGGAACCAATCCCATCAACTTGTGGGGATGGGGGGGGGGGCAAAATACACCCAAAACCTTGTCAGTACAGACAGTGAGAGTTAGCATTAGCACAACCACTAACACTGTGTCAGCCACTGCCAGTTACAAGCTAACAAACAACATAAACAAATCAAAGATTCCAACCACGCTCACCGTTCTGAGGCGTCTGCTGGTCAGTGATTTTGGTGCACAACAGACTCCTGATCCGGGTCTGACTGAGGCTCAGATGTGCGGCTGAGTCTCTCCTATATTTCTTCCAACCTAAACTATCTTGATACACACTGCCCCTTCACAGGTCACGGAAACCTTGTCAGTACACAGAGCGAGTGTTTGCATTTGCACAGCCACTAACACTGTGTCAGCCACTGCCAGTATATGAAAGTATTCTGACATACAGGCCTAAGTGAAGGGATCTGGATACTTTCTGAAGCCACTGCACATAAAATGAAACAATGCAAATCTGATATGTGTCCCTGAAATGTCAACAGGGATGCATAGTTTAACTCTGAATTTTGCTCACAAGCATGACATTATATTGAAGTATTGAATCTACAGTCAAGGTGTTTTTGACTAAAAGGAGCAAGGAAAGTGGCATCTGGTAAAAATCCACCCACACCTGTTGATACTGTTGTGAGTCTTTAGATAGGCTATGAAAATTGAACAATAAATCATGTTTTGGTTGTCATCTGGAGCTAGGATTCATAAGTAGATTATTATAATAGTAATGATCTGGGATTGATGTTGTCAGGCAGGTTATTAATAACAGTGAAAAGAGAGAACTGACACCGTTAGGGACTGAGTTACTCAGCATGGGAAAAACATGATGGATGATGTTTCTTTAATGTTTTTTCATTCAGATTTAAATGTAACAACAACAACGACTAATTTACTCTCTTCTGTTTCTCTTATTGTGACTATCATGTTGAAGCAAAGCCTCTTCAAGTTTTTCTTGGATACACCTTTCTGCATTATAACCACAAATACCTCTCTAACATCTAGATTAAAGTTATGCAGCCCATTTATTCGCAGGCTGTTTTACTCAAATTGGTTTTTGTTGCACTTGCTTTTTTTCCAGATGAAACTATTGTCAACAACATAAATCGTTTATGTATTTCATTTATCTAAATATAGTTTGGTCCTACATGTCCTACATATCTCATAAAAACATGTAAATTCTATAGAAATAATGACAAAGTTCATGCAACTGTGCGCCCCATATAACCTCCTTGTGACTATACATTTTGATTTTATGAATATGCAATAAGGTTCAAAAGATTTATGGCAAACCCTTCGATAACTTTTTTTTATTTTAATAGAATTTCTTATCATTTCTCCTACTGTGAATCCTCTAATTTATTGTTTTCAGATTTCACAGTTTTGTTAATTTTAAAATGAAATAATATGTTTACTGTATATAATTTATTTTTTCATATAAAAATGAAAGAAACTCAACTGTGTCTACTCTCAAATTTATAAATATTTATATATTTTAACTGAGAGCTTGTCTTTTGTTGTTATATTTAAGTGCTAAACTAAATGCCTATTTTGGGTGTATTTACTGTCGAAACACAGTGGCAGCAGCTAGTAGCCTATCATTTCCAACTGCATTATTCTCTGTCTTTTAACCTTTTATATTATTTCCTTTTATATGCTTAAAATATGGAATAGTTAGTGCCCGTAATAAAGTTAAAAGTCAATATAAAAAGAAAAATGCAGGTCAAGCAACAATGAAAGTTTATGGTGTGAAATATTCAAACCACATTACATGTAAATGAATAATTAGAACAAATAACTGCAGTTTAAATGTGACACTGAACCCTCTGTTGTCTTTTATTTTGTACCGGATTTTCTAGGCATGATCGCAACATCACCTTTATTTTCCATGTTAGGTGCTTTATGATGATCAGATTTTAAGAATAAAATAGATATTTGATAGCTTTTTGTGAGAATATGCCACAACCATCACAACAGTTTGAAACGTGTGTCCTTGAATCCCACATTTTGTTTTATTATCACCGTTTACTCTCTCTTTACATGCCTTTTGGTTTTATTTTGAAAATCCTGAGCGGAGGTCAACTTATCTGACGGTGACTTGACACTAGTCGCTGAGCGAGACGCGCAAGACCTACAACGGGAGACCAGTCCTGAATTGACCGAGCTGTACTGACTCCACGCCACACGGCGGCGGTAATGCACCGTTCCCTTTACCAACCACGACAAAGCGTCATGAAGAAGAAGGGGGCCGACAGCAGACTGCTGTGAACACTGCAGTACATGCGACCGTACAACCGCTCCGAGCCTGTGTTCATTTTTCTCCAACAGCAGCGACGACGCGGAGGAAAACAGACGGCTGTGTTTTCAAGTGAAGTGTCGGAGAAGATTTCAACGCGTCCGGAAATCCTAACTCTCCGGTACCGCACGAACGGTGAGTAGCCTTTTTGCGTGTTATTTTGGGACTGCGGAGGATGAAATAAACGGGGTTGCTAATATGATTTGGGTTCCGGTTGTGTTTATGTAATATCAGGTTGGTAATCCTCTAGAACAGCGCAGACATGGGGACTCACCGGTCAAAACATCTTTCATCACATCACTGGTTAAACAAAATATTTACTTGAGCGCTGTGAAATTGCCGTGTGTCTATGCAGCGCGACTGTGGGATTTATGGCTGTCATCTTACCTCAGCTTTACCCTGTCAGTGGTGCCTGTCGAGGTCTACCCGGGACCGCATCATGTACAATTCACAGAGATACAGTAATAATAACGCTATGCTAGCTGCGGCAGCACAGTGAAGTGTTATGCAGGTATGTGTTGCAGTATTCAAATCTGCTCTTGTCTGTGGACACACACGGTTGCAAATTCCATGTTGGACAAGGAGGAGAGAATCAAAAAAGGAAACAACTGGATCATTCAAAAGTCAGTAACACTTAATCTGAACTCCCTGTTCCAGAATTTAAAGGGAAGCAAAAGTGAAATCAAAGGTGAAATGTGATATTGCTGTAATTGTGCATACAATTTCTGCAAAAGATGAATGCAGAGATTGAAAATTCACACATTCCACTTCAAAGTGTGGCTGCTCTGACAATATTGCATGTCTATCTCATGTGAGATAAGTAGCCAGAATTACTTTTCAGTGTAATTCTGTGTGCACATCTTTCTCAGGTATGTTATTGAACTGTTTCGTATTAACCCATTGCTCACCTGCAAGGCAGATGGAGCCACCAGACAGTTTGAGTATTGTGTCATGGTAATTTATTGCCATAATTTATTGATCAGCATTTATAGAATTTATGCAGTTATAATTATCATACTCTACTAGTTTAAACTATTATCAAACTTTTTCTTGCGATAAAGAACTTCTTAACATGAAAGAATACATTTTAAGTCAGTAGTTGGTGCTACCTTCTACATGCTGCTTCCAGATTTCTCTGCAGACTTTCTTTTTGATGCAGTGTTTAAGTAAAATCCTTCATCACCATCATCTGTCAGCGAAAGAATCCAGTGTCCATAAGAAGGCACTGATCCATTTATTATCCAGCCACTAATAGCGTGAACAACTTCTTTTATCTATCATGCATACAATGCATCACATTGTGCACAGATAATACGATGCAGCAGCCAGACAGATGAGGACCTAGGAGAAGCTTTGTAACAGCTGTTGTCAGAACTTTAGCTCAGCAGCTAGACTGATACCAATATCAATATTTGAGACTTTAACAGATGCACATAACAAACATTTTTGATAAATGACATATCTTCTGCATTTCTGTGCTGAAATTTTGTGTCGTGTGTCGGCTCACAGTTACACCGACACTGATATGTATTTGAAATGTACAAGCTGATATCAGTCGATCTATCGGTGCAGCTCTGCTCAGCACAAACTCTGCAGCATTCAAAAAGAAAGTGTGTAAAGTTATAACGTTCTTCTGTGTATCTCTGGTGTTGCATTGAGATACTGTAACCTGATAGTAACAATACATTTAAAGGCACAAAAAAACTGATCTCCTCTGCGTCTTATGAAGGACTTATTAACAAGGTTTGGTATTGCCATGAATTTTTGTACAAAATAAAAGGGAAAATGCTTTAAAGTAATTATTGCACTAACAAGTTCGACTAATACGATGATGTACAATAAATAAATGAATGGCAATGAAATGCGTCCACCAACTTTGGCAATGAGCCACGTGTGTGCACACACTCACATACTCAAACAGGGCAATTTCCCGTAACACACTCATTGGCAGCAACAACAAGGCTGAGAGTGTTCGCCTTGAAGGGACAGATGCCTGTTAGCCACAGCCCAAACAGGCTTTCACATATTACAAAAGTCCCAGTGTTTATTCTGGTGTTTATGCTGGCAAGTTACCATTTAATTTCAACATCTTCGTTTCACTGCGTGTCTTCAGTAGTGGTGTGCTGGGCGCAGGGGTAGATTTGGGGTTTTAAAGAAGGGAATCCCTGGAACTTGAATGGATGAAAGTCTTAGGGAGGACCCCAAGTGCTCGTTTTAAAGCATCTTATCATACGTATTTGACGTACACTCAGTTGGCAATGTATTTGGTACACCTAGCTAAAACTAACCTAAATCATACCCTCATGAGGGTTTATGTTTCAGAGAGGTGTTGATTCAACTTTATGGTCTTTTTTGGAGGCTGAGGTTTGTGGTGCTGTTGAATTGTAATGCATTATACAAGCAGGTGTTTGTTATTTTGTCCGCCTCATTTATTTCAGTGAGGGTGGTCTAAATAACAGAAACACCTCTTTGTGTGTACTCGTGAAAAGTCTCCTAATTTGTGATGGTATCAGCTCTACCTTTGAGTGGAGTGGTGTTTCTCTTTGAAGGTATCCTGTTCCTAAAGCTAAGTGTGTGGTGGGCTGTGAGACTTGGCTCAAACACGTAACAAAGACTCACATTTTCCCTTAAACAATGCAGCATAGTTGGATTATTTTGCAGAACAACAAATGCAGAAGAAGCATTTCGCTGACAAACACTTGTTTTCATTTAAAGAAATTATGCGGAATGATTGAATCTATTTGCAGCTGTGTGGGGGAAAAAGCAATTTTGCTGATTTGCTGAGGTAAAGGGAGTAATTGAGGTTTTGCAAAATCCGGTTGCAGTAGTCAGCTAAAACAAAACACCGTCCGGGGCAACCTTAGCAAATACTGATCAAAGCTAATATGAGGGGCCGGCTGCCCTGGACCTAACTGTACATTCCACAGAACTGCGGCAGCACTGTTCCACTTGCTGAGGTGACAAGTTTAAAGAGGGGAAAATAGCTTAGACCGGGCACTGAGGGTACCGTTCCAAACTGGCTGTGTGTCTCTGTGGTTGTGAGTGTGTGTGTTTTTGTGTGTGTGTGTGTGTAAGTGTGTGTGAGAGGGAAGTTCACTCAGCGTTGCTGCATTGTGCCCGCTAAGGAAAGCTGCATGCAGCTGAGATGCTGCACTGGCTCTGTGTTAGTGGACCCATGCAGCGGCAGCAGCAGCAGAGGAAGCTTCTACTCATGCTTATAAATTGTTGCTGTCTATCAGAGGAAAGGAAAGCCCGCTCTCCTTTAACGCTCCTGTAATGCATAACTGGAGGAAAAAAAAAAATGGGAGCCATAACCTTCACACAGCCCCATGTGGACATAGCAGCTTCTGTCATAGATCTGTATGTTCCCTGCCCTGAGGACATTGTTGTTTGAGCCCTGATGCATACACCATTGCAACATCATGGGGATAAAGCACTATTAAAAGACAATGCATTTCCTTAGGATTTGCAGGCTGATGAGGATGCACATTTGAAGAAAACCACATGGGCTCAGCGTCAGTCATCATTGTGATAAGCTGCTGGATAAACACCCTATTACTCTGTTACCCTGATGCAAGTGCTCACCTTCAGGAGATGTAGGCCCACATAAAAACCGTGATTGACGACCTAAACATGACCTCTAAAACTGACAGTCGACCTTGTTTGACAGTTTGTTTAACTCTGCTTTTCCTTCTTAGTGTCTCTGAGCTAGTTTGGTGTTTTAATGATTGTCACGCTGTCAGGAATCGAGGTGTTCGCAGACCAAATGAACACCTGCCAAGCACCAAATTTGGGCAAGTTGTCCCCTTGCCGATAAGAGCACCTGCCAGACTGCCCAGTGCTTGTTTGCAAGCAAAATATTTGACTGCAAAGGTTGGATGAAACAAAATTGCTCTTGCTGCCTTCACTCTGGATGTCTTCCTGAATATATTTGCGTTCCTCAGCAGGACAGTGTTAATGCTGCAAAAACAGACGTCAGTCTGGTCTTATCATGAGGCTGGTAGGACCGAGTTAGTTAATTTGACTTCCCGTAGCTTAAGAGTGATTATACAATGTGTCATGAACAATACCATAAACAGGAATGTGGATGAAAACAAGCTGTCTTTCTGCTGGTGACACACGGTGCTAGAGTTAACAACGTTCTCGTTACAAGCAGGAACATTCCTTCACATAGTTTCTATCTAAAAGCACAAGAACTATTTGAATGGACACATTTCTTAATCGAGGAACCGTCTCTTGACTTCCCTTGTTCTCCTTATCAGTGGCCACTTCCCTGCCATTTTTGGCTAGCTACCATTCATCCTTTGTCCTGTGTACTTTTCCTGAAACACAGCAGGCATCCTGTTTTCTTCTCTCTCACTTAGTTATCGATATAAGTAAACATCAGCTCGTATTTCATGCTGTTGCATCAACCCGTCAGTCCTGTGTGACACTTAGCCTTCTCCCCACCTTCCTGTCTCTTCTGTTTTGAGTTGCCCAATAGCAAAATTCCCCTTGTTGTTATTAGAGTCAGTATTAAGAGGAAAGGATATACGTGAACTTCACCACAAACAATTGAAAAAGCAAGGGGTTGGTCATAATGTGTAATCAGATTAGAGATTAAAAGGCCTCTATCTCTATTATCTGCAGTGGTCCCAGCCCTTAAGAGAAGATCCGTTGAGTGGAGGGGACACATAGGAGTCACGCACACGGTGAAACTGTGAAGCCACAGCTGTACATCCAGTTTTAATGGAACACGTAGTGTGATCGCTCAGAAAGGTTTTAAACAGATCCCCAGCCTGAACATATTCTTTTGAAAGTAGAAGTGAATGCTGAAAGTATAATTGGTTAAAGCTGAACCAGGTTGAAACACATATTTGCAGGTGACAGTTTGGGTAAAGTTATTACCCAGATTAAAAGCCTTTATTTCTAATATCTGCAGTGGTCCCAGCCCTGGGTAAAGTTATTACCCAAACTGTAGCCACATTTTCCTGTGTTTTAGCTTTGAAGCAACTGGTTTAAAGGCCCTACAAAGATAACCTTCGGAAAACCTACCTGAACCCGATGTGCATAAAATAATTTTCAAAAAGAGAGACCTGATCTGAGGGGAATCCAAGCACAGCCAGGCATAACCTGAGGATAATTAAACCTGAACC